ACCATACTAAGGTTTTCTTCAAAAGATTGAATTCAATATTCAAGCAAGGCTCATTTCACTTCTTTTTTTCTCTCATAGAAAGAATACCTGCAAAGGACTAGCTGATATAAAGATTCGACTAGATAAATTCTCAAACCTAGGCTTTGAAAGTATTAAACTTACTTCACGAGTTCACGTTTAAGCAATTAAACAATGTTCGGTCTGTCTTATCNGGCTAGTGCAGATAATATGTTGGATTGGTACATCTAAATTAAATGAATGCCAAGATATGACAGGATACTTTACAGGAAGAACTAACAGAAAGATTCGGGCCCAAATCTATTAAAAAAACTGAATCACATCTAATGATCTTGTTAGTGGATGTCGAATATGGTACCTCCACATTTTTTAGGTCTGCACAGGCATGAAATGCAACATGATAAACGGTGAATTCCCTATTTAAAAATCCACCACGCCGGAAAACAAACTCAGCAGTTGGGATATTGTAAAGTTCTTCTTCGGACATGCCCATCATGGATCTTACTGGAATGTCACTAGGTGCTTCAACTGCTGACCAACCCTTGGACTGCTCAACTAGCTCAAGAATCTTCTCCGAAAAATAACAAAAAAAAAAGAAAGATGATATACCAAAAAAATGGAAAAATTGTAAAAGCACATGGATGCACTTGTTACTCACCTTGGAAGCTACATCATCAGTGACAGGTTCCTTATTCTTGTGAGCAGCTATAAGTCCAGCATAGCAGAATTTATTAAGACCAAGACCAGCAGCAGTCATGTCCCTAACAATTGCATACCTGCAAAGTTGGAAGGGCAGCCAATCAGATGCCAGAGTAAACGAAGATTATGAATCCAACAGAAAAATAAACCACGTAACATCATGTTTTGGAAAGATTGGATGAAAGTTGACACTGAAACATCAACAAGGAGAGCAGAGAAGTTTTGACGTTGCATTCTGCATCCAGTAGCTTCCTATAGCATATTAGTCAAAAACTGTTTTCACTGAATAAGCAGATTCTTTCAGTCAAATGAACTCTAATCGTATCAACATGCTATGCTGTGTAATTATCTAATAATTTGCTGCATTCCAGACTATCCACTACATGATGGATCTAATCGTACAACTAACTAAACAGATACCAACATATGCCTTCAAATATACGCACGACCAATTGTGTACAAGCAATAGATACAGTTGCAACCAGCGAGCAGCTTTCTTACACTCTGTCTACCCGACCAGCAGCTGCACACGCATTGAGGAGACAGATATAGGTCTGTCCAGTAGGCTTGACTTCAAATCTCTTCATTTCTTCCAAAAGCTACTTACAAAGAAGAAAAACATCAGTAATTATTTCAATGAATCATATCATTGTTGATAATTTCAGAAAATATGGATCAGGATAACACTGCAAGACAGAGTAAGGATACATACCCGTACTGCTTGTTCTGAATTTTTGCATTTTCCACATGTAGATATCATGAAATTGTACAATGCAACCTGTGATATTGGAAGAACAACAACAACCCTCGTTGTTATAATAACTTCAAGGCTGGGTATAAATTACATACAAATCAACGGTAAAGGATATTAGCTGCTGTAATTGTAGTGGTGTCACTTAAGCCTAACTCTCGTTAACCGAGGTCCAGTCAGCTTAACTGTAGGCAGCTGAAGTAGTAAGTCAATTGTTGTAGTCAGGTGGATTTAGTATTTAGTTATATGTAGTTAGTTACTTGTATAAATAGGCGTTGTAATTAACTGTAGTTCGTTATGTGTTCATTTTGGAGAGCTTGTAGAGAAAGCTAAGAAGTTCTCCCCAATTCTCTCCTCTCTCTCTCTCTCTCTCTCACTTCATTTCGCGTAAACTCTTGTTGATAATTCAGTGATTCAACAAATATGTAAACTCTATACAAATATGAAAAGCAAGCATAGGAAGGAGACATACATCAGGGACCAAGCCCATGGCTTTCATTTCGTCACGGAAAAAGAAAGCATCTTGCAATCGAGCACCCTTCATTGTCCCAATAAGAAGTGAATGAAATGTATCTCTCTCTGGCTTTACACCATCCAGCATCATGTCATCATAAACATCCCTCAACAAATAATGCCTAATTCACATTCATACATAAAAATGAACCGTAATTCAAATCAATCAGTTACGCCTTAATCAATTGGAGTAATTATATAAAAAAAAAAAAATTACCTTCGCTGAGCAGTTAGAGAGCTAATAACAGTGCTGTATTCAGCCTCATTGTTAGCGTAGTTTCTCTTTGCGTACTCTTCCGGTGTAGCCGCGAAGTTTCGACGCCCTATAGTTCGAATCAGTAGATTTCTGGGTCCTGAAAAACGATTTTGAAGAAACAACAAATTCGTTAAAACTGATAGGAGTATCATTTTATTAAAAATCAAAATATATGAAGAGAATAGAGATTGAGATTTTGAGTTGAGTACCAGAGAGGGTTCGGAGGAGCTTCATGGCTGCAGCATCAACTGAGAACTATGAGTGTCGACTGACTATTGGAGAAAGTGTGCATCTCAATTAAACCCTGGGACTCGAGGTTTTTGAGCGAGATGCCTACGTGGCATTCGTATAGAGGTGAGGTTCGATGATTCTTCGCACCCTATGGCTTTCCTCGACTTGGTTACCGGGGCGGGCAAACCCGGGTCACGTTAAACTTTACTTGAAAATAGTACGGTAGCCAATTTTCGGGCTGGTAATTAAAAAATAACCGACATTTACAAAGTCATTGAAAAATATCCATTGTTTTGCTAGAACACAAAAAGTTCCAGCAGAATATGTTGGATTATGAAGCTCATGTATATAAACTTCCGACATATTATGTTGGAACTCCAGCACACGTAAAGTTCCAGCATAATATGATGGATTATGGAGGTCCTCCGTATAAACTTCCAACATATTATGTTGGAATTCCAGCACATTATACTAAAATGTCATATGCAAAAAATTTAACAATTTTTTCGGATTTTTTGTTCATATTTTATTTTTACATGAAAAAATGGTTAAAATTCGAATACTTTTAAAATTGTAGCTATTTTTCAATTACCATTTATGAATCTCACTATTTCTATTTTTTTCTCAACTTTACTTGAAGCAATACTTTTTAAATCCTTTTTCCCCAACTAACAATTTGCATTAGATGTATGACATATTCTTAGTTGTATCGAAATATTATTAACATTCATAGTTTGACAAGTGCAGTAATATTTATCAAGTATGCAACTTATGAACATCCCCTAAATTCATAAATGGAGTAACATTTTCAAAAGTAAAATTAGAGCAAATAAAAATTAATTTGGTGGATCTTATGAAGAATTTTATAAATTGCACAAACATAGTATTGCAATGGTTAGGTATAACTATATATCAAGTAAAAACTACTGTTGGGATAAAGAAAGAAACTGTTTATTCACTTCGGATTAAGAAACTACGAAAAATGAAGCAAGCTAAGTCGAGGTAAATCTGAATTAATGAATGAATTATGCTAAAACAAACACTAAAATGAACCGTGATATACCACAGTAACTCAAAAAATTGCCGCCAACAAACATTAACAACTGAACTTATATAATGTATTATGTATATATACATCGGATACTATTATGTGCATGCTGTGTTTTTGAAGTATAAAGCAACAAAATTCTCTCACACGAATAAGGATTTTGATGGAATAGTCCTTCATTTTTAATCAAAGATCTTAGGTTCTAGCCCTGAGTATAAAATCGTCTTTGTTAGGGAGCACTTTATCCCTAATGTGAAACTTTCTAACGCGAACACAAGTTTAGTCGGCTCCTAATGCGAGTGATGAACGCCGGTGGGAAATCAATAACGCATCGGCAATTTCCTATCCCCAAAAATGGTTGAAAAATAAGAGGAATGAGAATTCATAACGCGGATCTCAACTTACTTAGGATTGAGGCATAGTAATTGTTGTAATTGAGTTTCATTGATGTCACAACAGGAGGCAGCTTTGCATACTTTTAATTCTTGGCTGCAGAATGCAGCTCTGAGTCAAACTTTTAGAGTTTTGTGGAGCTATTACTTTTGCCAACTCCCAACAGTATAACTGCCTGGCGTCTGTCGCTTGCTTTAATTATCCAATTTATCCAAAAGGTTGTAATTAATCACCATTACAATCATCATCTGGTCTAATTTTAGGATAAATTAACTATATTCCTGTATTTCATTCACATTTCTCAGAACCAGAATATGCCACTACAATACGATGATCACGCACAACTGTCTGAATCACATTTGTAACAACAACACGAACTCGTAAAATTACATTAGTAGAGTCTGAGGAAAGTAGTATGTACGCAGACTTTATCCTAGTGGCGGAGTCAGAATTTTCATTAAGGGGTGTCAAAATATAAATAATTAGATACATCAAAAAGTCAAGCGGAGTCAACTTATAGTAAATATACATAAAAGAAGAAAAAAAATCTAGCACTATAGTGTAATTTTCAGGCGAAGGGATGTGACTTGACACCCCTTGGTTCAATATGGCTCCGCCACTGCCTTAACCTATCCCGAGCGGGTAAAGAAGTTATTTCCGAAAGACATTCAGCTCAAGAAGACGAAAAGAGACAATATCAATACCACTAATAGAGACCATATGAATAATAACAACATCATAAAGACAATAAAATAGATGAAACGCAAAAGCGAACAACATCATAAAGACAAGAAAATAGATGAAACACAAAAGCGAACATCATAAAGACCAGAAAATAGATGAAACGCAAAAGCCACCAACATCATAAAGACCAGAAAATAGATGAAACACAAAAGCGAACATCATAAAGACCAGAAAATAGATGAAACGCAAAAGCCACCAACATCATAAAGACCAGAAAATAGATGAAACACAAAAGCGAACATCATAAAGACCAGAAAATAGATGAAACGCAAAAGCCACCAACATCATAAAGACCAGAAAATAGATGAAACACAAAAGCGAACATCATAAAGACCAGAAAATAGATGAAACGCAAAAGCCACCAACATCATAAAGACCAGAAAATAGATGAAACACAAAAGCGATAGCCAGTAAAAAGACCCGACACTAAGAAAACGAAAGAGTAGTGAGACACAACATTAACTACTACTAGAGTCTAGGACAAAAAAAAAGTTACAAGCAAAGGATTAGAAAACAACTTGTTTCCTCCAATTAACAATTACACTTGATATCAGGAATAACAACTTCTACAATAAAATAACTTTCGTCGAGCTAATTAATGGATGCTAAAACAAATAATAACTAATTAAAATTTAAATACCTAGCTGAACCTAATGATGAAAATCCACTATGTAGGTAATCGGGGCGAGTAATAGCCTTCAGATTTGAAGATTTGTTGTTGTAATTGGCACAAATTTTCACTGGAGTCGGAGTAACCTGCATAAACATATAATTTCCAGCAAAAAGATCCCCAAAATGCGACTGACTTTCCTTCAATCTCTTCAACGTTTTAGCCAATGCAGCAACAATAAACCTAGCTTTTCTTCTTAAGAATTTCTTCAAGCTCGGAACTTTTATCTTCAATCGCTTCTTCAGGTGCACTTTTCTCAACTTTATATTCCAGAAAGAAGCTGGTTTTTTCCTAATTTTTCCAATTACTTTTTCTCTTAGGTGTATTAAATCGATATCTTCTTCATCTTCAAAATAGCTGCTTTGTTGTTTGAGTTTTTGGTAGGGAATTACAATGGCGGATGTCATGTTTTGTAAAATAATGCAGAGAGACGTACAAGACAAAGATGATATGAACAGAATACTACTGAGTTGGTTAGAAGAAAGTGTTTAATTTATATACAATAAAATATACATTTTTATATCATTTAAAATATAGAGGTTACTGCCATATATAATATTCTCCTCCAATTATTGAAGGTATTTGATTAAACACAGAATTAAAGAAAGTAAAATTATTGAAATTTATGATCTGAAATATGTTATCGATATTTTTGTGGCTAAATATAAAAAGATATTAATTCTTTTTGGAACAAGCTAAAAAGAAAAGAGTAGTAAATAAATTGAGACTGATGGGTTGTCCGGTGTGCTAAGCTTCTGCTATGTGTGAGGAAGGGCCGAACCACAAGAATCTATTGTATGCAATCTTACCCTGCATTTCTGCAAGAGGCTGTTTCCACGACTCGAACTCGTTACCTCCTGGTCACATGATAATAACTTTACCAATTACGCCAAAGTTCCCCTTCACATGACAGAAACTGATGGAATAAGTAAAAGTTTTAACTAGGAAAAAAAAAGGAGAGTACCTAAGATAACAAGTTTGAATATACAAGCTACCCTTTATTATGAGATTGATTTTCTTTCATCCTTAACTAAATATTTTAAATTCGAACTTTGAGAATAGAGAAATTGTTGATAGCAATCCTTCTCCATTTAATGGGCTATACGTAACGCGAGACTCCAAGAATGAAAAGACATATTTAATGGGACATATATAGTGCGAATTTGAATTAGTCGAGCACCGATAACCAAATTATTATACCTAAACAAAATTAAGATACACTAATAATAGATAGTGTATAGTAAGTTAAATTGCAAAAAATAGGTGATACAGCCGGCGGGGGTTGTCTTTGTCATTGCTAATTGAATCAATACATCATGTATGTTTGTTATTAATGCCCAACTACATTGTGGGGTTGTAGTTGTGCAGTTTGTTGAGTGAATTAAATGCAACGAAATCGTCACCAAACGGAGCTTGCGGACAAGTGAATGGAACTTGAAACAACTACCCACGCCCACCAAGGTGACACGAAAACATTAACGTGAAAGAAGAGAATGAGCATTCTCGTGTATCACTTTCAATGCCACTGCAAAACACTTGCCTTCTTTTATTACAAGGCCATTTAAGGTTAAAATAGTATGGTCTAGCCAGTTTTCGGATTGGTCATTCACCGGTGGATGGGGGATGCTAATAGAAAAGTATATCATCTAAATTAAAACGGAAGGAGTAATATATAATCGAGCACCGATGCTCTAATCTCCAGTATATTATGCTGGACCGGTATATTATACTGGAACTCCAGTATATTATACTGGAGCATTTTTCCAGATTTTGAACAGTGTTTTCGTTCAGATTTATTTTTAAATGAAAGGCGAAATTTCGATTACTTTTGAAATTGTGGCTATTTTTGAATTTCACCTGTTCCAGCATAATATACTGGAGTTCCAGCATATACACAAGTGCTCTAATCTCCAGTATATTATGCTGGAACTTTCGTGTTGCAGCAAATAGTGACTATTTTTTAATGATTTTACAAACGCAGGCTATTTTTCAATTGTCAATCTGAAAACTGAGTAGCCCCGCTATCAGCACGGTTATTTTATTAACACAAATTATTCGTCTTTACGTCACATTATGATCCGGTTTGATTGCATCAGCCCACAAGACGGCTGGTTATTGATCTTGTTTTTAAATATCATTCATAAATATGTAAGAGTAGGTCAAGTTACACAAATTATTGAAATGACAAGTGAAACTCTTTAAATCTTAATTAGGAGTATAGTAACCTCCTTTATTGTATTTGTCCTACAAGACGGCTGGTTATTACAGGTATTTAAAAACAAGCACCTTTTACAAGGAGTAATAGAAAAAATAAAAGAAAAAACAATCTCGTATAATAATTCCCTTTATTGTATTTGCCAAATCTTATCTTATAACCAAGAGACATGGAGTAACCAAAAAGAACAAAAAAAATTCTCCTGTTGTGTTTTCCATCTATTGTATTTGTGAAACTCCAATCACATTTTTGAACCAAAAGATGTTCCAACTTGAACAACATTTATCTAATTGTCCAAGACAATGTCAAAGCTATTATATTTGGCTTATTGCACATGCTTTGAGTGAATGTATAGTCACTAAAACATTTTAAAACTGCATTAGGTTTTAAAGCAGCAGGTTACATTTGGATCAGGGCCAAATTGCCCATAAGCCAACCATATATGCAACCAACAACAGAACAAGGTTTCCACACCATCCCAAAAGACTCTAAAAGGGGACAACATATGACAATGAACAAATGATTTACAAGTATTTTTATACTGGGGATCTTAAGCTTCTAATATTGGAAGTATAATTGGCAAAAATAAGTACAATCAAGAATCAAACAATGTACAGAAGAAGGAAATTGTGTTAGCGCAATGCCAAAGCCTTATCCAACAAATAAAAAAATCAGCATCACCACCGATATTTCACATCCAAACTTGATCAAAAAGAATTGCAGGCTGGAGCAGCAAAAGGAATCAGAGCAAAACAAGTAACTCAGTAGAGCTTTATTCGGGTTTGAATTGAACTTCGACATATAGGGCAATTTTCAAGCGCCCTCCCGCACTCACAACATGTCTGCATCAAATAACACCAAATTGTTAAGTCATAAAAGGCTTAGAGCCCGTTTGGACATAAAAAAAATTCCCTTTTTTCAAATTTTTTTTCTTTTTTTCGAAATCAGCGTTTGTTCGTAAAATTTCCAATTTTCACTTGAAGATGCATTTTAGAAATTTTCGAAAATTTGAAAAACTCCAAAAAAGTTGTTTTTCAAAATTTTCACTCAAATCACTCACAAAACTTCAAAACAATCCAAAAATATTCATGTCCAAACACAACTCTAAATTTCAAATACTATTTTCACTTGAAAAAAAATTTCACCATGTTTTGGAATTCTACAATTCTTATGTCCAAACGCCCACTTAATCTCCCCAAAACATCTCGTTGCTTTTACAGGAAGGAGAAAGGAAAGTTGCTCACCTGATGCCCACAGCCAAAGGCCATGTCTTTTGGGTTGGTAAGGCAAATGGGGCAAACCTGCACAATGAAGAAACACATTCCTTTCAGTCAAGTCATACTATTTCATTTGTTGTAATAATATTTGTAAAACCAGCAAAAAAAATAATAATAATGCAGCAGTATAAAGCAAATGGACCTGATTGTCGTATGTAGAGGAGGTGGTAGCAGATGGAGCAGTGTAGGGAGATCTGGGAGCAGATGGAGCAGTGTCAACTGCGCGAGTGTGATCATAATACGAACTTGGAGTCTGCTGAAGATGCGGAGGTGCATCAGCAGGGCTTCCATAACCGTAATAAGCGCTTGTGGGCTGCTGAAAACTCGCTGCACGTGAGGGCTTTGAACCACCGACAGATGTTGCCCCATACATAGGAGGGGGAAGAGCTACCCTACTAGGAGACGTTCCACTTTGTCCACTGCAATTAAGCAATTAGAAGATGTCATCAACCTATAACTTGACAGGAGAAGTGAGGAGAAATGTATAGCAGAATGAAATCAAACAAACAGATGAATAAATAAGCAGAGTGAGATCTGACCCCAGTAGGTTAAGCATCATGGTTGCTTTATATTGTGTAGGGATTTCCATCAATGCTGAAAGAGCAAACTCCGTCTCCTTTCGAGTTTGAGATACATTTTTGGCCATGATCTCCGTGAAATTGACAAACTAATAGGAAAAAATCGCAATTAAGCAACATCAAAGGAAAATGTTCTAGAAAAGAATATATGCCACAATCTAGACCACCACCACCAACCTGGAAATTATCAAAATCCCGAGCAGGAATATTATCATCAAATTCCTTCATCATATCCCAGGGTCCATCGCCAACCCCAACCAGTATAATTGACAAGGGAAACTTGCTGCATGAAATAAGACAATGCACTCCGCAAATTGAGTATAAGAATGAAAAGGCAGCAGCAAGTAACATAACCAAAAAAAATTACTAACACACAAAAAAAAAAAAGGCGAAAGGAAATTAGTAACAAGTACCTTGCTCGTACGATTGCATCAACTGTTTTCTGCTCCTGTGGACTTAATTGTCCATGTCCAGTATCAACACTTCTAGTAACCTAGGGAGATAGAGAACATAATGCAAGGATTTAATATACACTTAAAATACAAAAATATGACAACCAACAAGGACATTTAACTCACTCACTCACTATACAACTAAAGCTAAGCTATTTGTCAGTGTGCTATTTTTTCTTGTTCTTGTCTTTGTATTTGCATAATATTGATAAAGACAATACCTGCCCATCTGCAATGATTACTAGAACATGGTACTGACCACCACTCTGCTCAACTATTGTCATGGCCATTTCAATGACCGGGGCAAACGACGTTGGTCCTGTAACAATATGAGATGGTGCCTAAATAAACCCAATAAATTACCGTGTATAAAGCTGGCGAACAATCATCTGTGATAGAATTTATACCTGCAAGCTTTAGCTCGGGGACAATTTCTCTGTAACGAGATAGAACTTCCTCAAAACCATAACAAAATCTTTCATCGGGAAAGAAACTGAATACATCTTGATCATGAGTTGATGCTGTAAGAAGTTATACACATGGAACAAAAAAATTAACCTTGTGAGAAATTCCCCAAATAGGAAAAAGTTTTATGGGTAAACAAAAGAAGAAGAACAGGATTTTAGAATACCATCTCCGAATCCAAAACACGGAATTAAGTTATCCTCATCAAATGCGGCCAAGGTCTTTCCAATTATAGAAATTGCTTGCTCATACGGATTCAAATTCTGCCCGATGTGATGTAGGCTCCGACTACCAAAAGACCTCTTACCTAAAAGAGAGCAAATGCCCCTCAGTATATTCAATTGTAAAATAAAATATCACATACAGCTAACCAGAGAGAGGAAGAAGAGGGAAGAGTCAGAGCTTAACCTGTCCATTCATTGCTCTTGGTGAAATCAATACCCACAATTAGATTTGAAGACTCCAAGCCCTCTCGTGCAAGGGCTTCAGTCACCTGATTACAGAACAATGTCGTATTTTATCATGCGTAGGAGGTGAAGAGCATAGGCGAAACTACTTAAAATGGGAGTCATTAAAATTAGGATTCAATATTTACATCTGTAAGGCTAAAAGTTACATCTTAAAA